TTTTTTTTTTTTTTTTTTGTAGAGACATTGTTGCTATAGGGTCTGTGTGGTTGCCAGAGTGACAAGGAGAGACAGAGAGACAGAAAGTGAGAAATCATCCCCCAGGGAGGATGGTCACACTGCAGTCTCTTGTCCTCCATTCTCCTCTTGGGATTTTGGCCATGCATGCATATGCACCTGGCCTGAGTTTTAAGCCACCAGCTCCGGGACTTGAACTGCAGTTAACTATGTGGGAGTCCATGACATAACCATTATGCCATCTGCTGGTACCTTGATTTTAATCTTTTACAAGTTTATTTATTTGGGGGTCAATAAGGTGACATGGTGATTAAGGTGCTGGACTCCCATATGGTTGACTATGGTTCAAGTCCTGGACCAGGTGGCTTGAGACTCATGCTAGGCATGTGTGTATGCATGCCCCAAACCTGAGAGGAGAATGGAGGAGAAGGAATTGCAGCATGGCCATCCCCCTGGGAGGGGTGATTTCTCACTTTCCTCATCTCTCACTCTCTGTGTGTCTCTCTTTGGCAAGCACACATGCCCTATGGCAAAAATCTTTTTTTAAAAAGGTATTTATTTCTTGAGAGAGAAAAAAAGGCATGATTGGGAGGCAGAGAGAGGCTGGAAAATGAGAGAAAAAAAGACAATCACCGTCGATAGGGTCTTATGACATGATCCTTCCCACAGCCTTCTCATAAGCAAGGATAGCAGGCATGTGTGCTCCTTCAGTGTGTATAGGCTGATCTGGGAAGCAAATCCCCAATCTTCTACACAGCTTAGAATCACAGAGCAGTGAGCTATCCCTGTGCCACCATGATTGGGGATTGATTCCAATTTGAAATAAGTTCAGTAAAAAGAATTTTTCAATGGGTATTTAGAAAATTAGTTTTTTAAAAGAAATTTTTGCTATAGGGTGCTGCACTCACCAGAGATACAGAGAGAGACAGAGAGACAGAAAGTGAGAAATCATCCCCCGGCCCTGAGGGGATGGCCATGCCACAATCCCTTCTCCCCCATTTTCCTCTTGAGATTTTGGGCATGCACACACATGCACCCAGCATGAGTTTAAGCTGCCGGATCCGAGACTTAAACTGCAGTCAACTATGTGAAAGTAACCACTATGCCATCTGCTGGTCCCCCAAAATTAGATTTTTTTTTTAATTTAGAATTTCTGCTCCAGTTTTAGTTATAAGCCTGTGGTAGTCATGGATAGTTAGATACCCAACAGCCATTGCCCCTTCTTCTCTCCCAAGACTCCATGATTTTCTTTGGAATTATAAAGTGCCTAGCCCCAGGCAATGATTCATGCTTACTCTAAGATAGTCATGAATTCCGTTTGTCTCTGCTAGATGCTTTATTCTTAGACTCCCTTGCAGCTAGGAACAGTTATGTAACTCAGTTTTGGCAGATGAGACATCAAAGAAATTCCATTGGTTTCTGGGGTAAAACTTTAGCATTCCAGATAAGAGAGATAACTTTTTAAAAGGAATTTGCCAAAGGGCATGTGCACTGGCCAGAGAGAGGTGAGGGAAGCTGGGAGCAGTGAGAAAGCACAACTCACACGGCATGGTCATGCCACAATCCCATCTCTTCCATCGCTCCTTCATTTTGGGATTTGGGGCATGCATGCACATGCACCTGCCATGTTTTTCAACCTGCGAGGTCTGGGATTAACACTTTGTGGTTACCATGTGGAATCCAGCTCCCTTAACCAGGCTATGGAGTAGCCCAAGGAGTAGCCCAAGAAATAACTTTTATACACTCAGAAACACCAAGATAACCACATGGATGCCAATCATCTACCTTCAGCATTCTTTCTTTCTTTTTTTGTTTTGCTTTTTAGGTTTTTGTCATAGGGTGTGTGTGCTCAGAGACAGAGAGAGGGAAAATGAGAAGTCACCCTCCCCCCGAGAGGGTATGGTCATACTGGAATCACTTCTCCATTCTCCTCTCAGAATTTTGGGCATGCACACACACATGCCCAGTGTGATTTTTCAAGTCACCAGGTCCAGGACTCAAATCACAGTCATTTATGTGGGAGTCCAGTGCCTTAACCACCATACTACCTGGTGGTCCCAACCTTCGGCATTCTTGCTAAGAGAGCTAATAAGAACTTATATTGTTTAAGCCAGGGGCCAGCAAACTAATCCAGTCTACCACCTGCTTTGCAAATAAAGTTGTATTGGAATACAACCAGACCTATTTGTTTTTGTACTGTCTGTGGGTGCTATTAACAGAGTTGAATAGTTACAACAGCAATGGTACAGACCTCAAATCCTAAAGCAGTTACCATCTAGCCCTTTAGGAAGACTCCTGGTCTAAGCTGCTGTTGGCTGAGCCATCTGTTACTTGGTAACTAAATTCATTTCAAACTGATATGAAGACCATGATAACTAGTAAAATAAAATAAAGCAAGCAGCAAGCAAAATAGAAGGTATTACAGTCCAAAAGTAATGCACAGCGCACTTTAGTGCCCTCCTCTGGTTGGGCTAGGGTAATGTGTTTTGTCCATCCCAGCACACAAGACAGCATTTTAGCACAGAAGTTTCCTGTGCTGTGCTCTGAGGACTCACCTGTTTGGTGTAAATAACAAACCACTGCCAGCTACGATCCTCACTGTACTGAAATCTGAGCTCTAAGTTCTGGTTGAGTGTTCGCTGGAGCCCATCCATATCCAGCAGAGTCCCCTACAGAGGAAAAGATATTATTTGATATTCAATAGAAACTAAAATGACTGTTGATGTACTGGACAAAATATCAAAAAATGAGTGCAACTTCCCAAGAGCTATCAGTCTATTGAGGAGCCATGAAAGTACATCTCCACAGATTAAAACAGTGTCAGAAGGGAAGCAACCACAGATCCATGGAAGTAAGGAGAAAGTGCACCTAACCCAGGCTAGGAGGACAGAGGAAGGTTTCCTGGCAAGAGGGGCATCTGAGTGGAAGTAGAAGCTATCCAAGTTGGTTGTGGTGGCTGTGCTTTTGCAAGGGAAGGTGAAAGGTGGTTTCTGATAGATGAAAGAAATGCACTAAGGTATGAGGGAACCTGGTACAATGGCGATTCTGCAAGGATCATGTGTGGCTGCAGTAAGGGCTCCAAGGCATAGAGGACTGTGAGAGGAGAGACTCCGGAGGCAGGGTAGGGCTAATCCTGAAAGCCTGGTAGGGAGCTTTTGTGATGTTTGGGGAGAGGTTTTTGCTATAGGGTGCGTGTGCTCACCAGACAGACAGAGAGAGACAGAGAGAAATCACCCCCTAGCGGGGATGGCCACGCCACGCCATTTTCCTCTCGGGATCTTGGGCACGCATGCACACGCACCTGGTGTGAGTTTTAAGCCACTGGGTCTGGGACGCGAACCACAGTCGACTACGTGGGAGTCCAGCAACATAGCCATTACGCTAACTGCTGGTCCCTCTTTTTTTTTCTTTTTTCT